ATATACTATATATACTATAGTATAGTACTATACTATATATGTACTATATAAATATATACACATATATATATATGTATATATATTTATACAGACATATATTTCATGTATAATAAATACATGTGTCTATATAAATATATCTACAATATATATTGTATATATACACAATGTATATTTTATATATTTATACAATAGGTATAGTATATATTTATATACAATATATAGTACAGTGTATATATATACTGTACTATATATTGTATATATATACAATATATATATACAATATATATACAATATATATAATATATATATAATATATATTTATATATATACTCTATATATATAAAAATATATACTCTATATATATATTTATGTATATAAAAATACTCTATATATATAGAGTATGTATTTCTATATCTTTTTATTTATATATGTATAGTATATATTTATATACAATATATACACCTACATTTCTAAATATAAATATTTATAAATATTATAAATACATAAAATTAAATCAATGAAGTAAAATGAATATTGAATTTATTTCATTTATTTCATGTATTTCATTTTAATTAATGAAATGTTCATTTTATTTCATTTTAATTCTTGATTTTTAAATTGTTTGTGAAGCACCGCCATGAAAATGGCAATGTAATATCCACATTGTCATTATAAATATAGTAATAACAACAACAATAATAATGATAATGATGTTGTTGTAATTAAGCAGCAACTCAAGTTTCTTATATAAGAGATATTGGATGTTCAGCTATTGCAGGAAAACTCACCAGCTGGGTCATTCTGTGAATACCACACTGAACATTATGTCCAGCTGTTCATTTGAATTAAATAAAACATTATTCGTCTCATTATTATTTTCAATATTATTTTTATTTTCATTATAATTTTCATTATTTTCATTTTCACTATTATTATTTTTATTATTATTTCTTTCATTATTATTTTAATTTTCATTATTATTTTCATTATTATTTTAATTATTTTCATTATTTCCTCCACCCAAACTGGGTTTCTTACCAGCTCCAACCAGCTGAATGAAGGAAATGGTGAAATCCTCCTCAGCCTGGCGCACCAGGGTCTCGATGGTCAGCCCTATGACACTCAGCAATGACAAAATAGTGACACAGAAGTAGATCTTCACAGGGAATGAGAGCTCTGAGCATGGTTTTATCTGTAAAGGGAGAAAATTCTTTAACAGATCACACAGAATAAATTCATTCTTGTTCCTAAAAATCACATTGAGGCGAGAGGGGTAAATGAGTGCAAGGTTTCCTTTGGGAAGAGAAACTCCACTATTGAACTGAAACTCCCAAACTGCTGAGGAAGGGGAAAGTGTAACTTTATTTCGTAATTAATCTCGGCCTAGATAGTCCTGGTTTATACCCAGAACTATCTAGGCTGAGAGTAATTATAAAATAAAATAAAATTATACCCAGAGCCTGACTTTGTGCCTCACAGGCCATGGTGTTATAACCCACCACAAGGACACTGCCCACACACACACCTGTCAGAGCATGGAAATGTCATTTTCCCACAGTTTCACTTTTAGAAAACTGTAAATACAGGGTCAGCGTTCCCAGGAAGGCAAAGT